TTAAAAATGAACCTCAGCCTCATCAGACGTCTCCGTACAGCCGAGTCACTTTGAGCTGATCAGGCTGCGGAGCGTGCAGGACCAGGGGTTCAGTTTGAGTTGTATAAAAAAAGGAGCTCACACAGGATCTCTATCCGGACACAGGAGCAACAGAACCCGGGGTCAAACATGGCACCGAGCACGTCAAACCTCCCGGAAGAGGAAAAACAAGCTTGTGTAGTTTACTCCACAGGTCATACACATTCACACACTGATGGTAGAGGCTGCTGAGTAAAGAGTCCATCAGTATTAACTCATCCATTTACACACATTCACACGCTGATGGTAGAGGCTGCTGAGTAAAGAGTCCATCAGTATTAACTCATCCATTCATACACATTCACACACTGATGGTAGAGGCTGCTGAGTAAAGAGTCCGTCAGTATTAACTCATCCATTCACACGCTGATGGTAGAGGCCGCTGTGTAAAGAGTCCATCAGTATTAACTCATCCATTCACACGCTGATGGTAGAGGCCGCTGTGTAAAGAGTCCATCAGTATTAACTCATCCATTCACACACTGATGGTAGAGGCCGCTGAGTAAAGAGTCCATCAGTATTAACTCATCCATTCACACACTGATGGTAGAGGCTGCTGAGTAAAGAGTCCATCAGTATTAACTCATCCATTCACACACATTCACACACTTACTTCTTCGTTGTACTGTCCTCTTCGTTTTTTGTTTTGTTTTATTGTTTTATGTTTTTGTCAAAGAGTTTTCAGAAAAGCGCTACATAAAACCAATTTATTATTATTATTATTATTATTATTATTTTTTTTTTTTTTTCTTACACTCAACGTCCAAAAAACAGCGACTGCACTCGTCACTCGTTACTCCGTCATCCACATCGTTAACTCACAGCAGTGAACTGCTTCTGACATTATTACGGTCCTCCCGGCGTGGGCCCAGCAGGGGGCGCTGTGAGGACGTTAGTGATCCTGCAGAGTCTCCGTCCCTCTTCAGACTCTCTCTCTCTGGCTGACTCATGGAGAGCACGCGGAGAGGAGGGGGGAACGAGAAGTGAACAAACTAACGATGTTTCCAAGGTTACAAAGTGCAGCCTGACACAAGAGCAAGTGTTGATTTTTGATTTTTTTTTTAAAAAGAGCGTGCGTGTTGATTTTCTGCAGCAGCTCTCAGTGAAGACGTTGGTACAGGCGTCTTCAGGCCGGTTATGAACTCTCTCTCTTACATGCTAAGAGAGAGCACATTTGGATTTGACGTCAAATATTTATAAAAGTAAAGCGCAGCTCTGTGTACTGACTGTGTTTCTCTGACTGTGTTTCTCTGGCTGTGTTTCTCTGACTGTGTTTCTCTGACTGTGTTTCTCTGGCTGTGTTTCTCTGACTGTGTTTCTCTGACTGTGTTTCTCTGGCTGTGTTTCTCTGACTGTGTTTCTCTGGCTGTGTTTCTCTGACTGTGTTTCTCTGACTGTTTCTCTGACTGTGTTTCTCTGACTGTTTCTCTGACTGTGTTTCTCTGGCTGTGTTTCTCTGACTGTGTTTCTCTGGCTGTGTTTCTCTGACTGTGTTTCTCTGACTGTTTCTCTGACTGTGTTTCTCTGACTGTGTTTCTCTGACTGTGTTTCTCTGACTGTGTTTCTCTGGCTGTGTTTCTCTGACTGTGTTTCTCTGGCTGTGTTTCTCTGACTGTGTTTCTCTGGCTGTGTTTCTCTGACTGTGTTTCTCTGACTGTGTTTCTCTGGCTGTGTTTCTCTGACTGTGTTTCTCTGACTGTTTCTCTGACTGTTTCTCTGACTGTTTCTCTGACTGTGTTTCTCTGACTGTTTCTCTGACTGTTTCTCTGACTGTGTTTCTCTGACTGTGTTTCTCTGGCTGTGTTTCTCTGACTGTGTTTCTCTGACTGTGTTTCTCTGACTGTGTTTCTCTGGCTGTGTTTCTCTGACTGTGTTTCTCTGACTGTTTCTCTGACTGTTTCTCTGACTGTTTCTCTGACTGTGTTTCTCTGGCTGTGTTTCTCTGGCTGTGTTTCTCTGACTGTGTTTCTCTGGCTGTTTTTCTCTGACTGTTTCTCTGACTGTGTTTCTCTGACTGTGTTTCTCTGACTGTTTCTCTGACTGTGTTTCTCTGACTGTGTTTCTCTGACTGTGTTTCTCTGACTGTGTTTCTCTGGCTGTGTTTCTCTGACTGTGTTTCTCTGACTGTGTTTCTCTGGCTGTGTTTCTCTGACTGTGTTTCTCTGGCTGTGTTTCTCTGACTGTGTTTCTCTGACTGTTTCTCTGACTGTTTCTCTGGCTGTGTTTCTCTGACTGTGTTTCTCTGACTGTGTTTCTCTGACTGTTTCTCTGACTGTGTTTCTCTGACTGTGTTTATCTGACTGTGTTTCTCTGGCTGTGTTTCTCTGACTGTGTTTCTCTGACTGTGTTTCTCTGGCTGTGTTTCTCTGGCTGTGTCTGCAGCTCGCTCACTCTAAAAACTCAAACTGCTGATTTTAACGGCCCTGCAGGTTCTTCTTCTTCTGCTTTAAACCAATCAACATCAAGTTGTCATTTTTAAACTCATTAAAAACCCTTTTTTGTTTTACTGTGTTTGGATTTTATGTTTTTTAAGAACCAACCAGACTACAAAAAAGATGGACGACATGACAGCAACCCGGATTGAAGCCAAAGTCTGTAGTAGGCTATAATTGCAATAAAGTATTTTGTCTTGACAAAGTGGTCCAGACTGAAGTTCAAACGTTGTTCAGCGAAGACTCCAGAGATGTTCAGCTCAAGGTCAAACAGAGGGAAGCAGCAGCGGCTCTCAACGATCATTCAGACAAAAATAAGACAATAAGACAAACCAAAAAGTTGGACATCAGTATTTTATATGAAACTTCCAAACAGAACAGTTTGAATCCTCAGGAGATTCGTCATCATATTTGAATATTTGTTTGACCCGTTGGATGTGAACGTTTCATCCTGGAGCGGCTCAGAAACGACCCGAGTCGTGTAGAAATCATCGGCTACATGCAGCATGAGTCACAATCTGCTCATTGGCATTTGTGGAAAGAGCAACAGAAAGCTGGTCAGCGGGAACATTCAGGTAGTTTGACTTTTATTCAACAGGCTCAAAGATTCTAAAAGATGCAGAAAAATCTTTTAAATGTCACAAAAACATCTGACTCAAAACCTCTCTTTCTTATCAGGATGCTCACAGGATGAAGTTAACCTCTTGAATACAAACCGTAGATCACATCAACCTGCTGCTTTTTCCTCGTTCATGAAGTCTGAACTCAACGCTGATCACTCGCCCGATGCAGCGACACTCTCTCTCCTCGTCCTCGACCGGCCGTTTCAAAGTTGCATCATTTGGTGCAGAGCGTGCTCGACGGGGAAACCTCACTGACACTCTGCTGCACCAACACGGCTTCATTATTGCTTCACCTCTGACTCTCAGATCACATCTTTTATTCTGCTATTTATGAAATACTTTGTTTCCTGAAAAGACCCAAAGTGATCAAAGAGTGTGAACCCAAAAACATCTTTCAAGTGATTCTGTTGTTTTTTCAAACGTCAGACTGACGTTTGGAAGCTGCTCCTGTAGCGTCTGCTTCACCAGCGGCTTGGACGCATCACAGATCTGTATCTAAACGCCATTTGTCAAATTCTACTCTTTCACTTAACAGCTGCTTCACCAATCCAGATCCTTCCCTGTGCTAAAGTGCACCTGTGATCATGTTGTGATGAATTGAACTTTTTTCCAAACCAGCTTTCAGTCGGTCAGTTGTTAAATTCTTGCTCCTGATGTGAAGTGGAACATGTTGAATGAGCCGACATCCACACCATGGCTTCTAACTACGAGATCACTCTCTGCATCGACTTCATTCGATGCATTGATTGATGTTTTGGAAAATGTTGTGCAGAAACGTAAGGTGTTGTGTCTGAAACATGCAGAACAAAGAGTTTGGAGAGTCTCACAAAGCTGGTTATGTTTTAAATGGACCTTCACACTCATTTCAAACTTTACCAAACCTGCACAGCAACACGTTCAGGCAACTCTGTCACCTGGTTCCATTATTCATCATTCATCCATGTTTCAGAACTTTATTGCTGTTGCTGGCAGCGTTGCTCTTTTTCCACTGCCTCGGGTTGTTGCCCGTCCATCTTCAGGACTCTCTCTGCACAAACTCTCGTTATGTACTTTCTGTTAAAGAATCACTTTTTTTTTTCATGACTGAAACTGTTTAAAAAGGTAATTTTTAGGCCCCTGCTGTCTGAAAAGTACGACAGAGGATTAGGGGCACATTATTTATTTTAATTTATTTTAATTTCGAGATTAAAGTCGTAAATTAATGAGAATCTCGTAAATTTACGAGACTAAAGTCGTTTATTCTCGTAAATTAAAATGTATCATTTTACAGATATTCTCGTAAATTTACGACTTTATTCTCGTAAATGTACGACTTTAATCTTGAAATTAAAAAAAATGTTTTTTTAACGTGGCCCTAATCCTCCATCTTAGAAAAGGGTATTGTGATCGTGTTTTTAGCGGCTTAAACCTGAATTTTAACAGCACTTGATGAGCACTTCATCAGACAGAGCGCTACCGCAGGTCGTTCATCCCATCTGCTGTCAGACTGTTTAATCAGACTGTTTAATCAGACTGTTTAATCAGACTGTTTAATCAGACTGTTTCACAGCATCACCACCTCATGACTCATTTCAATAATGCTACACACTGAGTGTGTTTTTTTTAAGAACAACAGAACCCTTTCCTGTGTAGTTACTGTGTAATTTTACATGATTGTATTTTTTTGTTTAACTGATGTAAATATGTTTGATTTGATTTTAACTTCTATTTTTATTTTTAATAATTATATTCCCGTCCCCTGTTTTCTGGAGCTGCTGTAATGCACAAATTTCCCCCACGGGGATGAATAAAGTTTATCTTTATCTTTATCACTTCATACCTGGGGGAGAACACAAAGACACACATGGCTCATCCAGTGAGACGCTTCATCTGTGAGGGGTTGCTTCTTTAATTTCATAAACTGTGGATCCAAAAAAAAAGTAGTTTTTGGTCAAATGAGTGCAGACAACAGAAAGAATAAATTATGACGACACTGGAGCATCGTGTGGCTCTGCAGGGAGGGAAGAACAGCCTCCCTCGGGAACCACACAGGTCGTCGACACAGTTTGTGTTTTTTGTATTTTGGTTGACGTTATAATTTGCAGAAAAACTAACAGTTCTACTTTTAATACTGTGAGCTGTCTCTTCTGTTCAGGCAGAAACCGGCTGACTTCAGGAAGCCGCACAGAGCTCAGCAGGTGAGCAGAAATTTTTTTGATAAACAGTTCCCTCAAAATTTCTTCGACCAACACTTCGGATTGAAAAGGAGGTTAGTGCACACTGCTCCTCCTCGGCATCAACGATTCATGAGAAGAAAAACACACTTGAGAAAAGTTCAGAGGTTCTGAAATGCGGAGTGATGCCGAGCAGGAGTAGTGCGCCAACCGCAGACCTCACTGCTATGACCTCGTCAGAAGTGAGGGGTCAAATGGAGTCCCGTTGGAGGGCGATTATTCACTTAAAGGAGAATGTAAAGTGAATGTTCTCATGCCTGAATGAAAGCGTTTCTCTGGAGGGAATCGTTGATCAAAAAATCCTCTCTGTCACAGCGACAGTCCATTAATGCTTGGTTTGTGTTCAGATACCAATATGGTACAAAAGAAGAACAGAGAGACAGCTCTGATCATGAAGCACACTCGTCTTTTTTTCTAATATGTGTCCGACTCTTCATCTCGTCCTGAAGGGTCCGACATCAATAACAAAAAAAAAAACGTCTTTGTGGGTTTCTTGTCCCTCGGTCCAGAGAGAAAACACCTCCTGTCCATTTTGGGTTTTCCACCTCAGGGACACTCAGACTTCCACAGGATGGGAACGATCCTTTTGGGCGTCTGATTGATGATTTATTTACGTCGTCTGGAGAAAAAACATTCAGACTCCTATCGCTCTCAGATTCAGCTCATGTCAGCAGTTCGATTCCCGGCTTTCTTTAAAACTTTCAGAGGATTTCTGGGCCCCGCGCCAAAGTGCAACAACCGGGGACGTTAGATCAAAGCGCTCGCAAAGAAAACTGCATGAATCGGGATTTTTGTTTTTTAGGCCACCTCCAGCCTGTGGGACTGCTCCGCCATCATTAACATCTTTTCCCCCCTTTTGGAATGTTTCTCCCACTTTGGACCGACAGTCTGTCGTGAGGGGGAAAGCGACCACCGGCGGCCGGAGGACAGAGTCACACGAGATGTTTCTTTGTGGATCCTCGGGGAGTTTGTCCGCAGGCCTCGGCCCGTTAGCGGAGCAGCCATCTTGACTCTGAAGGAAACACAACTGAGGGGTCGCGATGAGGAGCGATGGCGCCAAAAAAGCTCTCAAGTCTCTTTTTGTGCGCCGTCAGTGCTCTTCATTTCTGAACCGCGGCAGCCATCTTGGATTGCTGCCACTTCCTCCCACAGTGTCAGTATTTGTATCGTCCCGCCTCTGCTACCGGTGACGTTGCCGTGTTCGGGAGGAACAGCGGTTTCGGCGGCACTTGGGGTTTGAGCGACGCTGTTCTTCGGATGATTCCCGCCCTCTGAGCGTGCGGCCCTTCGCTGTAGCTGTGTTGTCGGGTCAGACACGTGCTGGCGACCGTCGGCCTCTGGCTCCCGCTGTTGTTGTTGGCATTCACATTGGCCGCTCCGCCGGCGCCCGGGGGGCCGTTGCTGCTGCTGTTGGTGTTCATCCTGGCGAGAAAGTGGGCGTGCTGCTGCGCCGCCCCCCGCTGGTTGAAGCTGTGGTGGCGCGGCACCGCCCCGCCCCCGCTCCCCATCTTGATGAGGGAGTGCCGCTGGGAGTGATGGCGAGCCACCGCGACGCTGCCGCCTCCTCCTCCTCCTCCGGGTCTCTCTGGAATCACCTGCTGCTGGAGCGGAGTGGAGGAGGAGGAGGATGACGAGGAGGGGATGGAGGTGGAGGAGGTGGGGTTGTTGGAGGACGAGGAGGACGAGGAGGTGGAAGAGGAGGTGGCAGAGGCGGAGTTTGGAGGCGGGGCATCTATGCGTTTAGGGAGTCCGTCCCTTGGGAGGGTGGAGGTGCTGTAGTAGGACGACGACTCCGTCTCGGGGATCTTCTGCTGGTGATGGTGACCGCCACCGCCACCGCCACCGCTGCTGCTGTTGTTGTTGTGGTGGTTGCTATGGTGATGGCTGTGGTTGTAGTGGTGGCTGCGTGTGTTGCTGTGGTGGCCTTGAGGATGGGGGTGATGGAGGTTATGATGAAGTCCTCCAGAGGACGCGGAGGAGGGGGGTCCGGGGAACAGGGAGGAGGAGGAGGTGGAGGTGAGGACCTTGATGCCGCCGGTCCCCGACGCGCTCACCTCGTGGATGTGTTTGAGCAGCTCGTCCAGCGCCGAGACGTCCACCACCGTCTGAGGGAGGGACTGCTGGGAGTGATGGTGATGGGGAACTCCAACCCGCCCTCCACCCACTCCTCCTCCTGCTGCCGCCACTGCCGCCGCTCGCTCGTCATTGGAGATCTTCCTCTCCTCGGGGAGGTGCAGCGAGGTCGAAGAGGCGCCGGCGCCGAGGGCCGCTCCATTGCTCAAACTGTTGCCGTGGTGATGAGAGAAGGGAAACACCTGCTGCTGGGTCAGAGAGTTTCCGACGACGGCCATGAAGCCCAGGCTGGACCCGGAGCAGCTGGGCCCGGACGCGGGGTGGTTGTCCTTGGCGTTGTTGCAGTTCTGGTTCTTCTCGTACTGATGGTGCCGCAGGGCCTTCATGTTCTTGATCGGCAGCTCGGGGGTGGAGTCAGGCGTGGGCAGGCCGGACAGCTCGCCGTCCCCCTGAGACAGAGACTAAACAGAGGTTAGGACCCATCGGTGCTGAACAGGTACAGATCAAAGAGGCTCTGAATGTTATCAAAAGCTGCAGCTTGATCCAGTTACTCATTTATTTAAAGTCTTTATTTGTGATTTTTAACACTTAAATATAAATCAAGTTTATCCTCTGAAAATAACTCTGTGAGTCATGACTGTCTACAATGGGTGTAACACCCGAGTCCCACTGTCTGTGATGTTTTCAGAGTTTTCAGAGTCCTATCTTCACTTTGTTTACATCGCCGGGACGGCCGGCTGACTCCTCCCCTCGTGTATAAAAGTTGTTTAATTGAGGGACTAGAGAAAAGAAGAATAACATACTGTACTCACTGCTTAACTGTGTTTCTAGATCACGCTCATTTCAGGTAAATTTACATGCAGTGTGAAGATACCAGCATAATAAAAGATCACTAGCATTAGCATGCTAACACAACAATGCACC